ATCACGAACTGACATAAACTATAATGATAAATATCCGTTTAGGTGTTGTGGAGGTTATTAAGTTTTTGACTGAAAATATTGAGTCAGTTGAAGCTAGACCAGCATGAAAAACCTTGAAGCACTGGACGGCCGTTTCTTCCTAGTACGTGACTCCTCAGCAGTGTGCATCCACGATCCCGCATCCCGTGAGATTCGAACCCAAGACCTATCAGTCTTGTGCACGAACGCTTAACCTCTAGATCACTGAGCCGGTATCTAATGGTGTTAATGTCTAAACTCAACCAATCCACAAGTTTGCGCGACCATCTTCCATTGTACTGAGTTAGATACCTATCTCTACCCAACACGGATTAGCTCTACTGGTCACGGCTATAATGATAAAACTCTATTGAGCCAAATGAATGAATGAATTTCGCGCTAAAATTCAAGATCTGCCATCTATAAATCTGATTGGTTCGTTCATAAATTACAGTTTCGTCTATTGCGTCATAAAATATTGATCTATAAATGTAGAAGTGTTTTTTTTGTAATTTAAGTGTATTCTCTTTTGTTTTTTTTCTAGTTGATGTACAATGCACTAATAAATGTGCTTAGAAACTGCAGGAATTTGAATACACTTCATACTTTTAAAATCACAATGGTTGATTTATACTATTCCGTTGCTATTACTCATAATCACTATTAATAACTATGTGTTGTTATATAAGGGGGAGCATGAGCAGATTCCAACAGAGATTTATTAACTCCAACCCTCAATATCAACAATTAGAAGAAGTCTGTTAACATTGGAAAGTAGCAGCTAGGTAGATAACCTGTTGATAGTTGAAGCAATATGTACTATATTTAAGTCAGTAAAGATACCGACATTAGGGAGTAAATCACGCTCAGCTGTCGAGTTCCATGAGTGGCGAGACTCTTATCCCGAATTTTACTTTGCCATGATTCAAATATGCTAGAATTGTCAATATATTTGTAGGAACTAATCCGGAAAACCATGATTTTTTCTTTAAAAGTTTCCCTAATTTTTGATTATGTATTTTTGCAAACAGTTGTGAACATGATTGATGCTCATAACTAATGGATTCTAAGATTAGCTGCAATATCAAAACCATGAATAATTACCATAGATAAGTAACAGGATGTTTTGAATTAAAGTTTCCTGCCGGTCAGTACACAGTTGTGTACAAAAACCGTAATCTGGAGAAAATGGATGTTAGTACTTGAGGAAATACGAAGTTTTATTGTTCGGTGTCACAATTCAATATATTATCAATGAGACATTTGCACTTATTTACTTAATTACTTACGCCTGTTACTTGTCGTGAAGGAGCATAGGCCGCTCACCAGCACTCGCTATCCAACCCTTTCCCAACCAATCCTTTCCAGTTCTTTCAGTTATATTTATCTTTTTCATATCTGATTCTATTTCCCGACGTAATGTGCTCTTTGGCCTTCCTCTTTTCCACTTCCCTTCAGGATTACAAGTTAGGGCTTGCCTCGTGATTCAGTTTGATGACTTGCGTAATGTATGTCATTTGTACTATTACTCAATTCCCTTATGAGTAATATATTCCTTTAGTACATTTTTGGTAAACACTAGACAATGTTTACTGCTTATTTCAAATTGAATTTCTTTCATCAAGTTCCTAATGCAATTACTAGATTATACTGTCTTAGTGTAGTAAGGTAGGATAAAATTAGAAAGGAGAGCACCACCGGGCGATGCGTACAACATGATACATCATTAAAGTGTAATTACAGTCTCAAGGTAGCAATACTGAGAAACAAAACCAGTAACAACGATTTGAATATCTTCATTTCTGAAAGAATCAACTCCATCACTAAGAACATCCAACAATATATTCATGGCTGAGAATTCTTTTTAATGTTATTTAAACCTAAACTTATTTAAAGGATTTTAGATAAATTAGTTTTGTGTAGATTAGTTTAATCTGTAACTTATGTCCGTTATGAATTGACCATGGTTTGGCTCCCGTTGAAAAAGAACGCAGAGAAATGAACATCTATTTCCTCCTAATCTTGAACTCATCTATATCTATATGCGACATCAACATAGATCAATCTCAGAGTTTTCATGAGTCGTGGTGAGTATCTTAAAAAAACAGAACTACTAAACTAAAGTTTAATGGTATCAACCTAGTGGTTCATTTTATTAAATACTAATCACGACAAATGATGAGGTCTAATGAGCACACTAATAAGGAATCCTAGACTAGGGTGTAACAACTGATAGGTCCTGGGTTCGAATGTCGCGAGGTGTGGTTGTGCATGCGCACTGTCACGAAGGAGTTCTATAATAGGACGAAATAACCGTCTAGTGCTTCTAGGTTTTCCATGGTGGTCTAGCTTCAATTGAGTCATGATCTCAACTATTAAAATTACTACAATCTCCACAAAACACCTTCTGAAACTATCCATTTATTTCTGTTCAGTCAATCAGTCAGTTACAACGTAGGACAAGGCACGTATATGAATCAGTCACACTTGCCACACGTTACACATTGGCACAACATAACAAACAACAAATTCATAGAAGTGGTCACTTCAACCGTAGTAATATATAAAAGAATGATTGCATATAAGGATATAGTACAGGAAGAAAGAATTAGTTAGTAGAAAGAAAGATCATACGAAGAGATTTTAATCTCTTAGTTTAAAGGAAAACAAATGTCATTGTGATCTATTCTGACCCATGTCACCAAGGGTCTCCAACCATTAGTTACGATAGTCACGTGGACCCCAAAAAAGTAGTCGGCATCTACCAACATGGGTAAGACTAGAAGTTAGTGACTTTGTGAATTGATGTCACGATTTGGTTTGTGCGCCCCTAACTTTCTTCCAACTGCCTGTAATACGAGTCAGCATTTCGCGCCGTGGTTATCAGCGTTGAGGCATACATAACATGTGGCCCAACCATCTCAGTCGATGAAGATTCACAACTTGATCAACTGATTTACCATCATTCCCTAATACCCTGCATCTAACCTCACTATTGCTTACGCGATAATCCCAGCAGATGCGAACAATATTTTTAAGCTTTCGAATATCTTGTACTCTTAATGGCCACCTTTTGCAGCTGTAAAGTAGAACAGAACAACCTAAATTGTAGTCAATCTTGAATGAATACCATTCATTTATTTAAGATGTTCTTACTACTATCAAATATATCATTATTCAACTGATATCTTTCATAAGTAATTGTATTTACTATTACAATAATGATAATAGTTACCAATAGAGTTAGTATATATCATCATTAAGATATAAAGGAATTGTAACCAAGATGATTAAATGGTCAATAATATATCTAAGACCAAGGTCAGGATTTTCAATACAAATTTCAAAACAGTTCTACTGTATGGAGAGGAAACCTGGAGAACTACGAAAGCCATCATCCACAAGATACAAGTGTTTATTAACAACCGTCTACGCAAAATACTTCAGATCCGTTGGCTAGACACTATCAGAAACAACCTACTATGTGAGAGAAAAAACCAGATTCCATTAAAGGAAGAAATCAGGAAGAATCGCTGGAAGTGGATAGGACACACATTGAGGAATGCACCCAACTGCGTCATCACAAGACAAACCCTCAGATGGAATCCTCAAGGTCAAAGGAGGAGAAGTGGAAGACCGAAGAACACATTACGCTGAGAAATGGAAATAGACATGAGAAAAATGAACAAGAATTGGATGGAACTGGAAAAGTAGGCCGAGGACGGAGTGGGTTGGAGAATGCTGATAGGCGACCTATGCTCCATTGGGAGTAACAGGCGTAAGTAAGTAAGTAATATATCTAAATGTATCTATGCATTATATTTTCATTATTTATATTTATTACATTAATCAATAATCTTTTCAATGATTTCATCATAATGATTACATCATAATATCTTGTTTATGCATTCCCAATAGTTAAAATGTAAATCCTCCAATACTGTAATATAAATTAATTATTGATTATTAAAAAAAGAAAAAAAATTTTTTTTGTTTTTTTGTTTAGTAACTAAATAAAATTGATTATTTCCAAAAAAAGTTTTTTTCTTTTTTTTCTTTTCTTCTTCTTTTTCTCTTTTCTTTTTAGCAAACAAAATCCATGAAAAATAGAGATATAGTTTCTAGTTAATCGATTAATTGACTTGATCCATTCATTATTTATAATAGATGAAAGTAATTAATATACATGAAAAAAAAAACATACATAATAGAAACATCCATTCAATAATGAAATGATGATAGAACAGATATTAAAATAGTTCTCAATTAAGAAAAACAAATCGTTTATAGACAAGAAAAAATAGTATATAAGTAGTATAACAATAAATGAGAATATAAAAGTAAGAATAGTCGAATATATGCGAATACACTAAATTACAGAACATCTAAGTATCATACAATGAATACTTTAATCAATCAATCAATCAATCAATCAATCAATCAATCAATCAATCAATCAATCAATCAATCAATCAGTCAATCAATTGTGAGACAATTGATTATTGTTTCATTTCCACACTAATCATTCATTGTTCTCATTCTACTCTGCTTTATCTCTTTTTTTTTTAAACTTTCTGCTGGCAAACATTTCATTTTTGATTGATGGATGATATATACTACTTATATCTGTTGATATCAGTAGTACATTTCCGCACGCACACACTGCAATATGAACAGTAGTAGTTAGTCAATTATTTAACATCAAAATATGATTCATATACATATTTGTACAATAAAATGTATTCATTATAAAATATCATTATCATAATAATAGTTCAAAGTATGGATTATGTTGGGATATAGAATGAGATATGAAAAAGATGAATAACAACTGGAGAAGATTACTCAGGACAAAGTTGGATGGAGAGTGTTGATAGGCGGCGGTCTCTCCTCCTCCTCCTCCATCAGGAGTAACAGGCGTCATGAAGTAAGTAAGATCATCATCATCATCATCCCCATATTGTTTCATTATATTCTATTTATCACAGATATTCTTCTATTAATTTATTATAATATTTATTAAATAATAAATCATTTGTATAATTTATTAATTGATTTTGTTTAAATTTTTCTAATAATATTTGCCAAATTTCTTTATTCTTATGAATAGTATAAAGAGTGGATTGAAATTTTGGTAAAAACTTCGACAATATCCTAAATGAAATAAACAAATTCAATAATAATAATAATAATAATAATAATAATAATAATAAGTAGTAATAGTTGTAGTAGTAGTAGTATTAGTAGTAGTATTAGTAGTAGTAGTAGTTGTAATAGTAGTAGTGGTGGTAGTAGTAGTAGTAGTAGTAGTAGAAGTAGTAGTAGTAGTAGTAGTAGTAGTAGTAGTAGTAGTATAGTAGTAGTAGTAGTAGTAGTAGTAGTAGTAGTAGTAGTAGTAGTAGTAGTAGTAGTAGTAGTAGTAGTAGTAGTAGTAGTAGTAGTAGTAGTAGTAGTAGTAGTAGTAGTAGTAGTAGTAGTAGTAGTAGTAGTAGTAGTAGTAGTAGTAGTAGTAGTAGTAGTAGTAGTAGTAGTAGTAGTAGTAGTAGTAGTAGTAGTAGTAGTAGTAGTAGTAGTAGTAGTAGTAGTAGTAGTAGTAGTAGTAGTAGTAGTAGTAGTAGTAGTAGTAGTAGTAGTAGTAGTAGTAGTAGTAGTAGTAGTAGTAGTAGTAGTAGTAGTAGTAGTAGTAGTAGTAGTAGTAGTAGTAGTAGTAGTAGTAGTAGTAGTAGTAGTAGTAGTAGTAGTAGTAGTAGTAGTAGTAGTAGTAGTAGTAGTAGTAGTAGTAGTAGTAGTAGTAGTAGTAGTAGTAGTAGTAGTAGTAGTAGTAGTAGTAGTAGTAGTAGTAGTAGTAGTAGTAGTAGTAGTAGTAGTAGTAGTAGTAGTAGTAGTAGTAGTAGTAGTAGTAGTAGTAGTAGTAGTAGTAGTAGTAGTAGTAGTAGTAGTAGTAGTAGTAGTAGTAGTAGTAGTAGTAGTAGTAGTAGTAGTAGTAGTAGTAGTAGTAGTAGTAGTAGTAGTAGTAGTAGTAGTAGTAGTAGTAGTAGTAGTAGTAGTAGTAGTAGTAGTAGTAGTAGTAGTAGTAGTAGTAGTAGTAGTAGTAGTAGTAGTAGTAGTAGTAGTAGTAGTAGTAGTAGTAGTAGTAGTAGTAGTAGTAGTAGTAGTAGTAGTAGTAGTAGTAGTAGTAGTAGTAGTAGTAGTAGTAGTAGTAGTAGTAGTAGTAGTAGTAGTAGTAGTAGTAGTAGTAGTAGTAGTAGTAGTAGTAGTAGTAGTAGTAGTAGTAGTAGTAGTAGTAGTAGTAGTAGTAGTAGTAGTAGTAGTAGTAGTAGTAGTAGTAGTAGTAGTAGTAGTAGTAGTAGTAGTAGTAGTAGTAGTAGTAGTAGTAGTAGTAGTAGTAGTAGTAGTAGTAGTAGTAGTAGTAGTAGTAGTAGTAGTAGTAGTAGTAGTAGTAGTAGTAGTAGTAGTAGTAGTAGTAGTAGTAGTAGTAGTAGTAGTAGTAGTAGTAGTAGTAGTAGTAGTAGTAGTAGTAGTAGTAGTAGTAGTAGTAGTAGTAGTAGTAGTAGTAGTAGTAGTAGTAGTAGTAGTAGTAGTAGTAGTAGTTGTAGTAGTAGTAGTAGTAGTAGTAGTAGTAGTAGTAGTAGTAGTAGTAGTAGTAGCAATAGTAATAATAATAGTAGTAATAATAATAATAATAATAATGGTAAAATTAGGTCAAACAAAGTGGAATGAATCAAAGGAATCAAAATAGGGAGAAAAATAAATTAAAAACAAAGAAAAGTGATGTAATTACTTTATTTATTGGTTTATTGATTTGGTTATATAAATATGGGTAAAATGGAGGTATCGATTACCTACGCGCGCATATAAATCATTTGATTGATGTGTATGTGTGGGCTGTGATACTACTCGTGTGCACAGACGGTAGCAAATGGTTTTCTTTGAGGGGTGTGTGTGTTATGTTCCGACAAGCATAATGAATGGTAACTTTTGGGATTCATTTATGGTTCAATATTATGTGTATATTTTTATCGTATAATTGTTAAATAACTAAACTATCCGTATTCATGTCTCTCTTATCATAAGCTGTATTTTAATCTATAAACCGATATTACACGATTTTCCATTCTTGAATTATGCCCTGTCTATTAATTACTACGTCCCTCATTCACAGCCAAATTTGGCTAAATCTTGTACAAATGTTATTTCCTATTTTATGATATGACGTTGTCTGTCTGGCTTCTATATAAACCAGGTATGTTTGAAATAAATAATTCATATCGCAGATGCTGAGATTGATGTTCTGAACTTGACTGGCTGGGCTAGGCAGAAAGGAGGACCAATCAGGACTCTAGACTGCTCGTACGGGTTTTATGAGTCATTGGTCTGATCGACAAATCAGTGTCCTCTAATTGGCGGTATCGTTACGTTATAGATTAACAGGGCACTCAGACCACAAGTTATAACAGGGGGCTACACTCGTAGCCTTTGACCTAAAAGTTTCATCCACAAGGCAGTGGAACCACGTTATGAGATACAGATCCATGGTAGTTGGTGAACAATAATTGGTACATATGTCATTTGTTCTTTCAGGATCCTGGTAGCCCATGTGTACCAATGGTTTGGAATTAAGGTTTTACAACTCCTCTAGGTGAACTCTCCGTGTTCACCAACCCGGGTAATGCACCGGACATTCGCTTTTCTTCCTCTCAATTTCGTAAACGACACCGGTGCCGCGAGAACTTAGTGAGTAGGAATTCTCCGGTTGTGGTTGTATACACGTGCCCATGTGAGAGCATTTCAATAGGGAGAGCTGACGTTAGGCTGTTGGAAGTGATTGGTTGAAAAGCCTGTTAATCTAGGTTTTATGATACTTGACATTCATCACCAAAACTTAGTCTAAACATTTGTCTTTGTAGGATAGTTATGATAAACTAATTTTTGATATGTTTTGTATTGATATTGTTTCGTTAATTGATCACCTTGTTAACTGTTAATAAAACGCTTTAACCAAAATTAATCATAATCGAAACTGGTTGTAGGATAGTAGACACTGAAATGGTTGGGTCACGTGTTGCGTATGCCGATTACCACGATGCGCAATACTGACTAGTGTTGGGAATGGTTGGAAGAAAGTTGGAGGCGCACAAACCAAATCGTGGCATCAGTTCACAAAGTCACTACCTTCTAGTCTGAGCCATGTTGGTAGATGCAGACTACTTGGTTGGGGTCCATGAGACTATCGTAATTGATGATTAGAGACTGGGTGACATGTCTCAGAATCGATCACAATGGAGTGGATGTATACACTCTTTGTCTTCCTCTAAACTATAAGATTCAAATCGCTTCATATAATCTTTCTTTCTTCCTGTATTATATCCTTATATGCAATCATTCTTTTAAATATTACTACGATTGAATTAACTACTTCTATGAATTTGTTGTTCGTTATGTTGTGCTAATAATGAGTAAGGTGTTGTAAGTTGTACCGATGCATATATATGCCTGATCCTACATTGTAACTGACCGACTTACTTACTGTAGAATAGTTGCTATACTCGATAGAATTTGATCTGAACTAATAAGGACTTGGTACACATGATATTGATCACCACTCTGTGATCAATCAATTGTGAGTTTCAATGGTGGTCTAGCTTCAACTGACTCATGATTTCAACCTGTGAAATTTCTAAAACTCTCCACAAAACCATTCTGATAATAATCAACTGCTCATTAGTAACTGACTTCAAGAAAAACTCCTGGAGTTCTAGTGAGAAGCCGTTACCAGTGGAGTTCAACCGGTCTGTTGTGAGATATCATCTCACTGAAGACAATGGTGTACGGTGGCGCAACTTCGTGGATTGGTTGAAGTTAGACATTAACACCGTTGAATGCCGGCTCATTGGTCTAGTGGTGAAGTGCTCGCGCGCGAAGCCAGTAGGTCGTAGGTTCGAGCCCCGCGGGGTGCGAGATCGTGGATGCGCACTGCTGAAGTGATCCGTACTAGGACGAAACGGCCGTCCAGTGCTTCCAGGTTTTCCATGGTGGTCTAGCTTCAAATAACTCATGATTTCAATCTGTGAAATTTCTAAAATCCCCACAAACCCTTTCTGATAATTGTGAGTTGTGTTATACTCTTATCATAGCAATATCATTTCATTTCATTCATGTAAATTGAGTTCACTTACTTAAAACATGGTAGAACAATTGAATCAATAAAATGTATTTGTAATTCTGGTATAAATGCTTTCTCTCTATCAAATGATGATAATAAAGGGATTGTATTGCATGATTTTTCTAAATCACCTTGATGAAAAAATTCATAATAAATGAATTTAGCTGTATCAAGTGTATTTAACCAATGTTTACATTGATCATTTAAATCACATGATGTAACTAGAATAGATAAAAGTAATTCATGATGTCGTCTATTGAATGGATCATAGGACACATTGGATAATTGAATGAATTCCGGGATAATTGAAATATGTTGATATAAATCTGTAGCTAATATAATATGTTTTAATAATAATTTAAATCTTTCATATTCCTATAGGAATAAAGGAAAGAAGAAGAAAAGAAAAGAGAGAAAAGTGTCATTCATCAGTTGTTTATTGTACTTACTTACTTACTTACTTATGTCTGTTACTACCCAATGAAGCATAAGCCGCTGAGCAGTATTCTCCAACCCCCTTTTTGTCCTTGGGTTTTCTTTTCTAGTTCTATCTAATTGTTGATCATTCATCTCATGTCTGTCTTCATTTATCGGTGTAATGTGTTCTTCGGTCTTCCACTTCTCCTCCTTTGGCCTTGAGGATTCCAAGTGAGAGCTTGTCTTATGATGATGCAGTTTGGTGATTTCCTCAATGTATGCCCTATCCACTTCCAGCGCTTCTTCGTCCACTGGAATCTGGTTTGTTATCGCCCATACTAGGTTGTTGCTGATAGTGTCTGGTCAAAGGATCTAAAGTATTTTGCGTAGACAATCGTTAATAAACACTTATATCTTGTGGATGATCGCTTTCGTAGTTCTGCAAGTTTCCACCACATACAGTAGAACTGTGTTGACATTTGTATTGAAAATTGTGACTTTGGTGTTGGTTAACAGACAGTTGTTTTGAGTTCCAAATGTTCTTTAATTATAGATATGCTGTTCTTGCTTTACCGATCTGCGCCTTTACATCTACATCAGATCCACCGTGGTCATTAATGATGTTGTCCAGATATATAAAGGTCTTTACATCCTACAATCATTTTCGATTATGGTTAGATATTGATTAAACCCTTTTGATTCACTTACTTAATAGACAATGTTATTTGAATAGTAACAATCAGCATATTTGTTTGTACTGTTATGATCACTAGAGCACATGACAGACTCTAGCTGAAATGTTGACTGCTTAAATATCACTCAATGATTCATTCTCTTATGGCATTTATGTATTAGCTTTTGCTTTGGTTTGTTGCGCCCTTATGCAACTTAACTAGAATCTTGCCTATGTATTTCCTCGGGCATATACTTATTCGCCTCTCTGCTTCAAATACACTTGACGTGCTTATAACTATGTGATCTGCGCTATCCGCTAATAAATTGTAATTGCCGCTTCTCATTACCTTCTGATCTTAAACACTGTTGAAAATTTATATTATGACGGTTATCGAGGTGATTCATTAGCGAAGCATTATGAACTGATGAATTGTTGAAACCGAGGAAGCACCGGACATCTGATACACTTTATTCTTTACCATACTTTATTAAGTTAAATTAAACCGACGATTTTCTGTTCTCATGATAATCACAATGGCATTTCAATGATGTCACACTTCATTGCTTTTAATTAGAATTTCTACTAAACCCTATTGAAATAAACCAAATGACAGTTATATTTGCAGTTACGTTGGTCGAAATTTTTGAAGTGATGATCTATGTATTGGACTATTTAACAAGTTCAGTAGTGACTCGCTAATAACACAGAATGAGGAACTTGTCATCTCTGAAATGAATGGAAGTTGACAAATAGGAACTACTGAATTTCGACTCAATAACTTAAAAGAGTTCTGCTAGTCCTGTGTTTAATTCACTGACTGATCATTGTTGTTCAGTGATGAGGAATATCAAAGTTGAATTTCTTAATTCTCAGAAGCTCACTTTTATTTAAAACGATCTAGCTGGGAATTAATCAAAGTCATTTGAAATTGCATACACAATTTTGTAGTCTGACAGAAACCTTACTAGACCTAAACTTCGTGCTACTTAATACTTGTCAAAAAGGTATATCTATACTCTTGAAGGAATTGATGCTGCTTGTGAAATTCGAACCTTCGTCACTTAGTTGCATAATCTTAGATTTCATTATTGAGCTATTCAAAATCCGACCTTCTGTTAAACTGAGTTCAAATACAAAAATACGCATTAACTTATACTATTATGTTTTATATCATAATTTGTGGTCGGATACCATTAGCAACACAATTCTGTAGGAGAGAACAAACCAACTTTCAGATGAAGAAGAAATTAGGAAAAGATGATGGAAATGAATAGGGCATAACATTACGGAAATCATCAAAATGCATCACGAGTCAAGCCCTAACTTGGAATCCTGAAGGTAAGCGGAAAAGAGGAAGGCCAAAAAACACATTACGTCGGGAAATAGAATCAGATATGAAAAGAATAAACAACAACTGGAAAGGATTGTCCAGGACAGAATTGGATGGAGAATGCTGGTGGGTGGCCTATACTCCTCTACGAGGAGTAACAAGCGTAAGTAACTTTAGACTGTTTATGATTGATGATGTCGTTCAGATGTCGTTCAGAAGAACGATGAAAGCTCCACGACCAAACCATCCAGCTCAGAGAACAAAACTCCACCAAAATTATCCACCTGAGCTACAAATCTTTTCCACCATCATAAAAAAAGAAACCCTGAAAATGATGAAATGCAATCATTTTTCTCACAGAATCTTGTTATTCTTTCTTTAGTATTCAATTGTATGATGCTAACTGTATAGAATCATTCTACTAACTTTAATAAATATATAAGTAGTATATTATTCGAAAGAGAAAGAAATGAATGAAACAACTTACTGTCTTAGTCATTTGACTTAATATATTACAATCTTTGATATTTAATATTCTCATTGTCTGATCAATATGATGATGTTCTAGTATAGATCCTTTATAACCATAAACAGCATCAAGTGGAGAATGAATAAGTGTCTAATAATAAATAACAATAAAGTAGTATGATTTATTCATGGAAATATGATTTACAAACTAAGAAAATGATTTGTCAAAGAAAATCTGAACTTACTTTATACAAGACTGATAGGTTCCGGGTTCGAATCTCACCAGGTGGGATCATACAAGAGTACTACTGAGGAGTCTCATACTAGGACGAAATCGTCGTACAGTGATTCTAGGTTTTCCAATAATGGTCTAGCCTCAATTGAATCATGAATTCAACTATTAAAATTACTATAATATTCACAAAACCCCTCTCTGATCTTGTATATATATTAGTCAATTCAATTGTTCCTATAGAGATCGTTTCATTAAATGTATAATCTGGAAAATCTTAAATGAAAGTTGAGAACTTTATCCGACTTAACCAAGCAAAGGAAACTAAGATATCATGTGGACACAAATAATCTGTTGAGTAATCTATATGGTTCACGTATACTTTTTTAGTGTACAGCAGAATGCATTGATGAATATGAGCCAACAAATACAAGTCAGATTTCAGCCCTCGATATTAACTATAGGATAACTGAAATCTATCATAATGATGATATAGATAGTATACTCATTGAACAAACTAATGAGCATCTGAACTCAGTAGCTCAGTTTATTAAACGATAAGAGTTTCAGGAGTAAGGAGTTGAGTTCGAGCCCCAGTATAAATATCTATGTTAAAATCCAGAAAAAATATCACCGAATAGGTACTAAATAACCTGGAACGTAGATCTTGAACTCCATTGCTGATAACAGTTCTTCTGTTCTATATAAACTCAATACGATTTTAATAGTTGAATTCATAAGTTAATTGAAGTTAGACCACTATGGAAAACTTGAAAGCACTGGACGTCTGTTTCGTCCTGTCGCAGAACTCTTCAGCAGTGTGCACTCACGATCCAATGCTTCCAGGTTTCCCATGGTGGTCTAGCTTCAATTGATTCATCATCTGAACTACAAAAATTACTATAATATCCACAAAAACCCCTTCTGATATTGAAAGTAAAGACAAGATGTTGTTGTTGATGCTGATGATGATGTACATAATTGTCAGGATTAATTTAACTTCAGATAAGAGTAATGAGCCATCCATGTAACATCCATCTTACTCTTGAATATTTCAGTTCTTTTTTTCTACATGTATGGGAAAGTATTCTGTCTTAGAAACAGTTTCGCATTTACAAATTTTAATAAAAATCATAGTATTAGAGAAAAAAAATTGGCGAGACTATAATTTATGGATGAACCAATTCGGTATAAGATAACAAATCTTTTAATTTGGCGCGAAATTCATTTTGAGTCGGCTTCCGGAGAACTTCAACGGAGCCTCCAGAGGCCCAAAAGGAGCCGAAGGGTCCTAGCCAATCAGAGTATGATGGGAAGTTCGAGAATTCCAGCGTAGCATGCTACTATTGTTCGGTAGCATAATATGACGTTAACGGATTGGCTGAAATATGATGTTGATTTAACAGACTCCAACATCTATAAATACCCTTGATTTTCTGTACAAAAATGAACCTTGGGATAAAGTATTTTCTCTCATACTTGTGTCTTCTCTCTGGTGTTCAAGTCGCTGTGTAGTTCTAGACTGCGGGTTACCGGAATAGCTTAGGAAACTAATATAGCGTTCAATCCACACGACTTATCAATTCATTCATTCATTTGGCTAAATAGAGTTTTGGCAATATAGCTGATGTCAGTTCGTGATGAATACCCACCCTCCCCCAAATCTAACTTCTCACTTTAATCATCAACTGTAAGTCTTAATTCTAATTCTTCATATTGGTTTCTAACCATCATTTGGTCTTAGTTACTAGGTGAACACTTTCAAGGTTAGTTTAGCGTTGCTCTGGATTGAAAGAAGAATAAGCTGAAAGGAAATCAATGAATTCACAATGTTCTATTACAATCATTGTTCTTGTTTTATTGAATTATTCATTTAAGGAAGAATAATAATCATAAACTGATCTATTATTCCTATAAGAAAATGTAATGCTAGGAATTCTCCGTTAGTGCATGTCCACACTATCATACTGGTAGTTCTTGTGAAAAGTGATGATCTATGAAAAGCCAACTAAGTTAATCTAGTTGAAAGGTTAATTAATAATAGTTTACATTGCATGATTAAATGATTGTTTGAATAGACGAATCAAATGTAATGAATGTTATTGAGTGTGCAAACAAGAAGTAGGTCATTTAATTTAGTTTCTATAAACTTCTACTAACTAATGTATTTCTAGGGAGTAATATTTTCTTCGAATGAATTAAACAAAGCATAAAATCACAATCTTGACATTAGAAGCAAAGATGGATGGTGGCTAGCAGTGGAATTCATGATGTGCGTTTCGTCCTACTTGGGACTCGTCAGCTGAATGCATCTGCATCTCAGAGTTGATGTTCACTCTGGGATTCAAACTCAGTATCGCTTGCTTCAAACGTCATCGCGTCATCCACTTAACTACTAACTCCTGATGATCTCTTGCTTGTGCATTGAGGTGAAGTTTAAATTCCTTTTGTATTGTTTACTTGAATCTTCTCATTGATGTTTAGCACTGCAATTGATTAGTCCCATATTAGCATATCTGCACCCTGTGTGTATTACATCGATATTGCTTTAATTCACAAGCATTATATGCAAAGATGGATGGTGGTTAGTAGTGAAATCCAAGATATGCGTTTCGTCCTATTCGTGACTCTTCAGCTGCATGTATCTTCATCTCAGAGTTGATGTTCACTTTTGGACTCGAATCCAGTACCGTTCATTTGAAACAACATCATGTTATCCACTTAACTATTGAGTTCGGATAGGTACATCCAACTGACCCATTCCCAAATAAGATGAAACATGCATCCTTGATTCCACTACTAGACACTATTGATCTCTGCTTAGAATGCCTATCAATGAAAGTCTATATCAAAGCAATCCACATTAGTATACACATATACTCATAAGAGATTCATCAACTATTTACTTGATAATGATTATTAAATCCTCGATGATCAATATCATGACATAATGCTCCAATAAATAATGCTAATTGTTCCATTTCATCTAAATATTGATGAATTAATGCTCTTTCAATAGTTAATATTAGATAAGCCATATGTCCAACTGTAAATGCATGTGTCCAATTATGATATGTTGGTTGACGATAACTATTCTTTATTGTTAATATAAAACATGCTAATTTAGATTGACATATATTCCATTGTTTTATAAAACCAAGATTATTAAACATAATCATGATAGCCTATAGAAACAAAATCAGAAGAAAAACAAACAAACAATTACATCAGAATGAGTTTTGTGAAAATTTTTTTAGAAATTTCACTGGTTGAAATCATGAGTCAATTGAAACTAGACCACCATGGAAAACCTGGAAGCACTGGACGACCGTTTCATCCTAGTATGGAACTCCTCAGCAGTGAGCATTTACGATCCCACACCCCGTGAGATTCGAACACAGGACCTATCAGTCTCGCGCTAGGCGCTTAATCAACTAGACCACTGAGCCAATATCCAATGGTGTCCCATACTAAGACGGAACGGCCGTCCAGTGCTTCCAGGTTTTCCATGGTGGTCTAGCTTCAGTTGACTCATGATTTCAACCAGTGAAACAATCATAAATCATCAGTTAAGTAATGATGATCACATATTAAACATTGTTATGAAGCAACTAATATCATTGAATAGTATAATGGTATATATGGAACTTAAAACAACTGTCTACAAGCCAATATCAAAGTCAGAGTATTCAATACGAACGTCAGAACAGTTCTAATGTACAGAGTTGGAACTTGAAGAATTACTACTACAATCATCATTAAGAAAGTACAAGTATTTCTAAATAGTTTTATACACAAAATACTCATCATCCAACATTGACCGGATATCATCAGCAACGGCCTACTGTGAGAGAGAACAAACCAGCTTCTAGCTGAGTAGGAAATTAGGAAAAGACGTTGGAAGTGGATAGGACATAAATTGTGGAAATCACTAAACTGCATCACAAGGCGAGCTTCAACTTGGAGTCGTGAAGGGAAACGAAAAAGTGAAAGATCAAAGAACATAATACGTCAGGAAATAGAAGCAGGTATGAAAAGTATGAATAGGAACTGGAAGAAGCTCGAAAGGATTGGTTGAGACAGAGTTTGATGGGGAGTGTTGGTGGGTGGCCTATGCTCCTCCACGAGGAGTAACAGGCGTAAGTAAGTAAGTAAAATGCTAAATTAGGATTGAGTATTTCATGAAATCAATTTTACTGGATGAATCTAAACAATACATTAATGATAACATTTTGATTAATACAATCAATTCTGTTTTTTTTTTCATTGACTTCTCATTAGCTATACGTTTGAAGGGATTACAGGTGCACTTAATCTGAGAACGGAACAAATACTCTGTGACACAATAACCAATAAGCTTGCTATTCTGACGCGTTCCAGCCCCGTTAACGATAGAGAGGGAAGTCCAAGTTTGGGAAAAGGGAAATATATTGCACAAGCAGTCAGAAGCATGAGCAATAAAAGCAGGCGCAAATCAAACGTATATATACAACATAAAATTGTACTTGGGAAGTGTTACAAAGTAGCATATTAAATGATACAACGAACCAATAGCATTTAAGATCCTCTCAAGTGGGAAATATGATATGAGATCTTTCGGCGCGAAAACAAGAAATTCAACTTTTTAAAATAGAATTGCAGAAACAAGGTATTTATCAGGTGAGTTCTGTGGATCTAGCATCCCAAACAGTTAATGAGTTTAAGTAGTGTGAAATTTTGATAAATAACAACAAGTAAGTTGCTTTCATCTGGTTACCGTCTTCTTAGCAAAAAATGAACAAAAATTGGACAGAACTAGAAAGGAAGGTCGAGAACAGAGTGGGTTGGAGACCGCTGGTCGGCGGCCTATGCTCCATTGGGAGTAACAGGTGCAAGTAAGTGAGTAAGTAAGTTGTTTTCATCACAGATTGATCTCGATCGATATACCAGTAAATACTAGGGAGTGCTGCATGATTATTTCGCTTTAATATGGGACTCATATTAAATTACCCGAAAGTCCTAATTTCAATCTTTGAAAGAGTTATGAGGAGTATTCCTGAAGAGTTCCATGCTTGGACGAAATATCACTCAGAAACTAATATAATAATCTTCAAATCAAGTACAAGTTCTATAAAACTCGATTAACTAAATTATTAACATGCTTAGAACTAAAAATTCAATTATCTATTATAGAACAATAAATTATTTGGACAGATATTCAAGGGAGTTTTTATAACAACTTAATTTTATTGTCGGAGAAACATATATACTACTTAATGCAACAAGGATATTTTAGGAAATACTTACTTACGCCTGTTACTCCTCGTGGAGGAGCATAGGCCGCCAGTCTTAAGCCTGGGTAAAGGAGAAGGGTTGGACATGAGGTTAGCGACCCCATCCCGTAGAAAACTAACTCGCTAAAAAAACGCTTACTAGAAAAAATAATTCAAACCATTTAAACTCTACCCTAGGAGTTAGAAGGTTTGCATTTAGAAGAGTTATGACACCTCATGGTGAAAGCCGAGTTCCTTCGGAAGTCACAAGGACGATGCCACTTCTAACAACCAGATCAACAATTTTTATAGGTACGTGGAACGTCCGAACAATGTGGGAGATCGGGAAGATTAGTCAAATAGCAACAGAAATGAGGAGATAGAAATTGGCAGTACTGGGAATCAGTGAGACCCATTGGACCATTTTAAGAATAGGTGTGAGTGAAAAGTTTCTAAGTTGAACCTCCTAATTATTTTTTTTTGTTGCTTTGTGATAGTTTCGAAGTAATGAAGCAAGTAATCCTGTCAACTATTTACTGTTTTCTGGGAAACATAATCAGCGTAGATTAATTTCTTTATGGAAGGAGTGGTTACTTGAATTAATTATTCTAGTTATCATCTTTTTAGCGAGTTAGTTTTCTACGGGTTGATGTCGCTAACCCCATGCATAACCCTTCTCATTTTTCCGGGCTTTGGACTGTCAGTAGCCCCATAGGGGCTCCAGGCGGAGTTTAATAATAATAGTTATAGTAATAATATTGATTATTAGTTAGATAGAGGGAAATAATCAATATTGAACTTACTACAGTAGAATCCCTTTCATTAACACTTCTTGAAAGAAAAGATATTTCGTTGAAATTTGGATGTATTTGAGTTAAACTATGAATTTTATGATCAATCAATTGAGCAATTTCATTATCCGAGATCTGGTATAACAAAGAAAAATGTATTATCAAAATAGAAATATGTGAATTCATATGTACATGAAGTAACTACTCCTATGTATCCGGTGTTCACCTTTCTATGCTAATGATGTATGGCAACTTGGATCGATGTATATATGTGCCTGGTCCTACGTTGTAACTGACTAACTGACTGACTGAATTATAGGGATTTCGTTCTGTTACTACCAATCATTGTACATGATTCCTTTCAGTCTAATGTACTTTCAACAACTCATTTTATGAAGACATCAAGTCATTGTGTTGTTGAGGGAGATTTCTATGATATTAAATAAAATACTGACTAGATATCAATGACTTATATTATGACTAAAGTGGAGAGACATAGGGTTTTCTTATGTAATCAATCCTTGCACTTTAACTTAACAGACTATTGAAGATTATATCGTTCGCTGCTGGATCATCTTTCTTGTGCATCGTAATTCAGATAAGAGAGAGTCTAATTATAAGTTATTTTATAAATTACAAACAGTCATTTAAATCGAGGTTGAACACTAGAGTCTAATGATGGTCAATAAAAGTTTAACTGTGCTTTCAATTAGAGTGTAGTGTCGGTTGTCATGTTAAGCCTATATACCTTATTCCAGCTTCTGGACAAGCCAATCTAACCATTCTTCTTGAGTTATATTTTAACCTTATTCATTACTCACTTATCAACCTTGACTGTTTTTATATAAGTGCATGTGTGTTCATTTCTTATCTTACTCATCACATGTCTGTAGTGTATTTATGAGTGACTAGAAGTATTGATGAAGTTGGCTCTCCACTGTTCGTCCTTTCGATTCGCTTTGATCTCTCTTCTTCGCTTCATTCGCTGCGATTCTCTAATTGTCTGTTTCAATCAACGAGTGTACAAAATATACGTATTCAAGCATTCATTCTTTTATTTGACTTATTTAATTTCGTTATTCACTAATGCGAATTAAGTCGAGGATAGCCAGGGTGTATGCGCATTGAAAACCATCATTTATCAAATACAAATGAAAACTATCTAACTTCAGTTCACTTGGTGTTGTTTACTTGAATCTTCTCATTGATGTGTTAGGACTGTAAATGATCAATCTCGAATTAGCATATGTGAATACTGTGCGGATTGCATCAATATTGCTTTAATTCACAAGCATTCTAAGCAAAGATGGATGGTCAGTCAGTCAGTCAGCTACAACGTAGGACCAGGCACATATATGCATCGGCCCAACTTGCCATACCCCATTAGCACAGCAAGATTAACACCGCGTTCATAGGAGTAGTTAAATCAAGGGTGGTAATATGAAAAAGAAAGATTGCATATAAGGACATAGTACGGGAAGAAAGAATTAGTTCTTAGAAAGAAAGATATGGAGCGATTTTAATCTCTTAGTTTAAGGGAAGACAAAGAGTGTATACACCAACGCTATTGTGGTCGATTCTGAGCCATGTCACTCGGTCTCCAACCATTGGTTACGATAGTCACGTGGACCCCAACGAAGTAGTCTGTGTCTACCAACATGGCTAAAAACAGAAGTCAATGGCTCTATGGACTGGTGCAACGTTTTGGTTTGGTCTCCCCAAACTTTCTTCCAACCATCTCCAATACCGGTTAGCATTGCACGTCGTGGTAATCAGTGTTCAGGCATACATAACATGTGGCCGAATCATCTCAGTTGATGAAGATTCACAACTTCATCAACTGATTTACCATCATGCCCTAATGCCCTGCGTCTAACCTCACAACTACTTACCCGATAATCCCAGCAGATGCGAGCAATATTTTTAGGACATCTGTGGTCAAATACTAGTAGCTTACGAGTATCTTCTACTCTTAATGGCCATGTTTCGCAGCCATAAAGTAAAACAGAACGATCTACCGCGCAGTGTAGTCGTCGTTTTATTGATAGATGGATATCTCACCTTTGCCATAGGTGATGTAGGTTGGCAAAAGCCAAGCGAGCTTTTCGAATCCGTGATGAGATTTCGTCAGACACTGACGCATTAGAGCTAATCAGAATTCCAAGATAAGTGAAGTTGTCAACGCGTTCAACTACTTCACACCCTATCCTTAGTTCAGGTGTTGACACAGACCAGTACTGAAGCAACAACTTGCATTTATAGGGAGAGAAACTCACTCCAAACATTCTGGCATTGTTGTTTAGTGTTACCAGAAGACTTTGTATTTTATCAGCGTCTTCACGAAACAGGACTATATCATCTGCGTATTCTAAGTCGATAAGTGGACCTCCTTGTAGGAGATCAATGCCTGAGATTTCAGTCGACGAGAACGTTGGATGGATGAATGGTGGCTAGCAGTGAAATCCAGGACGCACATTTCGTCCTATTTGGGACTCGTCAGTTGGGTGTACATGCATCTCAGAGTTGATGTTCACTTCAGGACTCAATAGTTAAGTGAATAACGTGATGGTGTTTCAATCAAACGATACTGGGTTCGAGTCCCAGAGTGAACATCAACTCTAAGATGCAGGTGCATCCAGATGACGAGTCCCGAATAGGACGAGACGCTTTGCTTGTCTAACTTCAGCTTATTCAAATGATCGACAATAAAAATCATGGAAATAATAAAGTTGAAATCTCAGTAAACACATTAGTCAGAAATAAATATTTATATGAACATTTTAATAAGAATGTATATATAGTTCTTACTTTCATATGATAGGCAACCAGTTCAGAGTTTATTTCATTTCTGTTTCGCATTATGTGTAGTTCATTGTTTAAGTAAACCTAAAAAAATATTGTAATTGAACCGAATCAACATTTGATGAGCAACAACAAAGTAATGATTAATTAACACAGTGGTGAACAACTATTCGAAGTATCATAGAAGTTCTGATAAAGATCCGTGAATCATGGATCTCATTCATATAGGATTTGAAACCGATATCATAAACGGTATCAGATATTTGTAGCACAATATGATTAATCAACTCAAATTATAAATATGAGTAACTGAATTGTCAGTAAGACATTTCTCAAGGGAATAGATAGTTTACAACTGATTGATCACTGGGTGGTGATCAATGTGTTGTTTGTTAGGTCCTTAGTGCAGATTGAATCCTATCAGACAAGTTGCAATGTGGCCACTGGTCTAGGTGACTTAACATTCCATGCACTATGTTGAGATAAGATGATGATTGGAGGTAGTCGACAGAAAACCCTGAATCTAGGTTTCGTGCTATTTGGCACTCGTCAGCAAGGTGTACCTGCAATCTTGAGGGAACTGATGCTCCCTGACGGATTCGATCCCGTGTCACCCAGCCTCACAGTCAGAGACATTACCACTGAGCTATCCGGGCCGCGACCGACCTTCTGTAGAACTAAGATATAATCGCAATTGATTGATCATTGGGTGGTGATTAGTGTTACGTGTGTCAGGTCTACGGTAACGCATCATATACTGATATTCTTTTCTTAATTAAAAACAAAATGTATATTAAGTGTATGTGTATTTTAAAAATAGACATTGAAAATAAATCACATTTTTTCTTTAATGGCGTCTAGATGTAATTTATTTATTTAAACACATAAACATTGGTACAAAATGGCACCAAAGAGATATGCGCCACATAAATCATTCGATTTGTGTGTGGGCTGTCATATTTCCTAGGTGCCCAAACCGAAGCAGATGGTTTTCTTAGGGGACCACACCTTGAGCCTTTGACCCAAAGGTCTGATCTACAAGGTAGTGGAGCAAGATAAGAAGATCCGATGCCATGGTAACCGGTGATCAACAATTGGTTCATATACCATTTGTTTCTTGAGGATCCTGGAGCTAATGTACAGGGTTTTTCAACTCTCCTAGATAGATCTTTCGTATCCATCAACCTGGTTAAATCGTCGAACATTCGCTTTACATCCTCCTCTCCACTTCATTAACAACAACAACAACAACGTAATTTATTCAATGTTAAATATTTTCTACTTAGGCACATTTTTTATTTTCTAACGATAAATAAATTCATGAAAAATGATAGATTGTTTACTTTTAGAAGAAGAAGAAGAAGAAGAAAAAAACAAAAACACAAACATGTATCCATTTAAGTAGAAAAAAAAGGGAATTTTCTTTCTTTTTGAAAAGATAAAATAAAGTTACATTAATTCCACATGAAGTTGTCTATTTCAATATTGGGGGAGGCGTGGGTGGTGATGTTGGTGATGGTGGTGGTGGAAATGGAGGGGGGGAGGAGAAAGGAAATTAACACATATATTCTAAAGGAATTAACCATTTCCTGAGGTCATCATTGAAATAGACAACAGCTTGAGAAAATGAAATAGTTAGGTCAATATTATTTCAACAATAAAATGATGTATATGCTTGTTGTCAAATGATAGATTAATATCAGTAGAGGTTTTGTGGATATATTATTAGTAATTATAATAGTTGAGATCATAAGTCAATTAGAACTAGACCACCATGGAAAACCTGAAAGCACTGGTTAGCCATTTCATCCTATTGCTAGACTCCTCACAGCAATGCGCATTCACAATCTTGCTCGAGAGATTCAAACCTAGGACCTCATATCCCTGAGGAGTCTCACAAGAGGATGAAACATTCGTTCAGTGCTTTCAGATTTTCAATGGTAGTCTAATATCAATCCATTCATGATCTCAATCAAAAATGAAATCAGATGAATTCATGCTATTCTGTTAGAATCTACAGAAAAAAGAATCAAAACATTTAAATCATTAAAGAGAATGAATTCAATTTACTTGAGGCATTATAATCATTAAGAAATCAGTAATATAATTTGATAATAAATATTTCTCATATTTAGAAAATCGTTGATCATTGTTCAATTTATGAAATTCTATTAGGGTTAAATGATTTGGATCATTATTATGGAAGAACAAATGGATCAAGTATACACTAAAATAAACAAATAAACAAACAAACAAACATTAAAAACATATCACTATTATGTAATTGACATTTGATGATGAGACTATCATTTATGGATGACCTTCGAGCAACACTAGACTGACCTTGAGTGGCACAACTGATTAATCACTGGGTGGTGATCAATGTCATGTGTGTCAAGTTCATATTTAGTGAAGATCGAATACTATCGACCAAGTTGAAATGTGACCATCAGTCTAGGTGGCTCGACACTGTATGCATTATATATTGAGATTAGATGGCTCGGATAGCTTACTAGTAACGTTTCTGACTGTGAATTTTGCTCCAAAATCCGAAACCTGTCATCTTATACAGCTGATTGGTTTGTCCATAAATCAATCATTCTTTGTTCTCGTTCTCTTTTCTTTGATCATTTAAACGGTCTGCCACCAGGCATTTCACCTGAGATACTACTTAAATTTGTTGACATCAATAGAATATACTACAGTAAAGTATATTTTATTCAAATCATTCATTGATCCTATACTAGTGGTTACTCTTAATAAAACATAAACGTTAATGAAGATATTGATGTTTGTATTGATTGTTGATATGAAACGTTTTTATTTGGTGGATGAATAGTTGAATGGTTTACGAAGATGAATTCTGCATGAATACATGATATCGTTTGTATGAAGTAAATCTATAGAACAGGTTCTCTACTCCTTGTTGAAAAGCATCGGCCGACAACCAGCACTCTCCATCCAAACCTGTTCCAAGCAATCCTTTCCAGTCCTTCCTAGTTACTATGCATCCTTTTTATATCTGCTCCGATTCCCAACGTAGTATGTTCTTGTGCCTTCCTCTTTTCCGCTTCCCTTTAGGATTCCAAGTTAGGGCCTACCTCATGTTGCGGTTTGTTGATTTCTTTAATGTGTGTCCTATCAATTTCCAACGTCTTTTCCTAAGTCCTTCATCAGTTAATAGTTGGTCTGTTCCCTCCCACAATAGGTTGTTGCTGATGATATCCGTTCAACGTACATTAGGCATCTTGAGTAGACAACTATTTATAAATACTTGTACATTTTTGATGATAGTTGTAATAGTTGTTATCCAAGTTTCAGCTCCATACAGTAAAAATATCTTGACGTTCTTATTGAAGATTCTCATTTTGATATTGGCCTCCAAACAGTTGTTTTAAGTTACACATGTCGTTCAACTGTTGGAATGCTGCCTTTGCTTTGCCGATCCTCGTCTATGAGTCGGCATCGGATTCTCCTTTTTCACCAATAATGCTCTCAAAGAGTTACAGCTGGTCCGAAGCTCGGATAAAGGAAGAGGGTTGGGCATGTGGTCGACAATCCTATCCCATAGAAAAAAATCTTGCCAAAAGTACGCCAACCAAATTAAACAAATTTAACGATCTCGGTATTTATTTCTCATAGTTCGCAAGTGGGGTGAAAATATAATTTGTTTTCTGTCAATATTTGATTTACAACATAGTGTAATAATCATATCATAGCACAGGAACATAGGTCATACAGTTGCTCACTATAAACCATCAATTATATTTCAATACTAGTCATCAATCAATAAAACTCCACCTGGAGTCCCTCCGGAGGCTACTGCTGGTCCGAAGCTCGGATAAAGGAAGAGGGTTGGGCATGGGGTTAGCGACCTCATCCCGTAGAAAACTAACTCGCTAAAAAACGCTAACCAGAAAAAAATTATTGATCAATCAATAAACTGAAGTATAAACCATGAATTGTAGTATTTTGACTTATAAAAATCCCTAAAAGTTTTTAGTGTGTCTTCGATTTTAAGTTATGGATCTATGCTAATAATAGTGGATTCTGGTTTTTAAGGGATTTTCGGTGAATACCAGTCTATGGTAAAGGATCCTTTCATATTTCGGACGTTTTTATTCTATGAATGTTGAATTCATGGAATATATGTATTGAATTCATCTCTTATCAATATCGTTAACAGCTTTAAATATAAATAGCTTCGAATCCCGTGGGGCAGGATCGTGGACGCACACTGTTGAGGAGTTCTATACTAGGGCGAAACAGCCGTCCAGTGTTCTCAGGTTTTTTACATAATAGTCTAGCTTTATTTAACTCATGAATTCAACTATTAAAATTACTATAATACCCATCATATTATATCATTAGTTCATATTGTTTAATCTTATAGTAAGTATTATTTTTGATGGAGTTTTGTTCTTTGAGCTGGATGGTTTTGTCGTGGAACTTTCATCGTTCTTCTGAACGATATCATCAGCACAAACTTTACTTCTATCCGAAGTCTATGCCGATGATGTCGTTCAGAAGAACAATGAAAGTTCCACGTCCAAACTATCCAGCTCAAAGAATAAAACTTCATCAAAATCATTCACCTGAGCTACAAATCTTCTCCACTATCTCAAGTAAGTGTTATCAAAATCAGAACTTACTTTAAATCAAGTTGATTAAAAGATTTAATGATAGAATCTATTGAATCTATTGTCAAAGTTGTAAGATCAATGTTGATCTCTATTAATAAATAAATAAATAAAAAGGAATGATCCAAAATGAAATGAACTTGAATTCAGATTATATCATGTTACTACTATTCAATAGAACTAATACATAAAGTGATTAATTCATTGGATCCAATATAGAATTCATCATTCAATATACAATAATGAAGTGATAGAACAAATGATTATGAATTCTACCGTATGCTCATTAGTGACTAACTTCGTGAGGGAATTCTTGGAGTTCTAGTGAGAACCTATGACTAGTAAAGCTAATCCATGTCAGATAGAAACAGTTATATACTTTAGGCAATCGAAGATGATTACGAGATTTCGTGGGTTGGTTGAAGTTAGACATTCACACCGTCGGTCAAGCGTTCGCGCGCGAGACTGATAGGTTCTGCGTTTGAATCTCCTATACGGAATCGTAGATATGTACTATTGAGGAGTCCCATACTCGAACGAAACAGCTATTCAATGCTTCCAAGTTTTCAATAGTGGTCTAACACCAATCGATTTATGATTTCAATCAAAAACTATGGAATTGTAATATTAGTCGAATGAATGAGTGTCATTTTAATAAGGGTTTATAATCTACTATTATTGGTTATTAAGTACTGCTGTAATTGATCAAACTCTGTTGTTATATGTTCACATTCTGAGTGGATTAGATTCATTCAAAGTAATGGAATTCAAATATTGTCCAATCATTAATTAAATATAATAAAGGTCACTTTAATCTTAATTTTTATAATTTTAAATTCACTTTTAAGAAAACTAAGAATGGCCATCAGACAAATCAAGAGCGGGAAAGCAGCGGGACCCGACAACATACCAGCTGAAGCACTGAAGTCATACATCGAAGTAACTACAAACATGCTTTAAGTTGTGGATGCGGAGGAATAGACCAATAATTATCATGCTAAGTCCAATGGTGTCCTTGGACTTTAAATGGACATTTTCTATTGGTCGATATCTGTTCACTTGTGAATATTGTACAAAATGTTGTTTTCTATTTTTATGGTACGATGTGGTTGTTTGCTTGGTATATAAATAGAGTATGTTTGAAATACAATGATTCATAACCAGAGGCTGTGACTTGTGTTCTGGACTTAACTGGCTGGGTTATACAGGGAGGCAGGACCAATCACAACCCTAGGTCGTTCTACGTGTTTGTGCGTTTTTGGTCCGATCAGTAATTCGCTACCCCTTAATCCGCAGCTTTATTTTTCACAGTCATAACACTTTACCTTCTATTCCAAAAGATTTGGGAGGAGGAACTTATAATTTTCATGATTTTTAATGAATATCGAGTCATGGTTCAAGTTGAATAGAATTTCTATGAGAATTAGTAGTCATGAATTATGAAGCAAAGATAAAACTTCCAAATGGTTCAATAATATGATAGTCATTAACATTATGAAATGATAAGAGTTAGATATTGATTAAAAATCAAGAAATAATGAGCAACTGCTTCGTCCTAGTATAAGATTCTTCAGTAGTAAACATTCATGAACTCACTACAGATAATTGAACCCAGGAAATTTGATCTCTATGTAAACACATAACCTTTATACCATTGAGCCTAAATACAATCAGTTCATGATATTCCATTTTCTTGTGGGATTAATAACTTAACACTCTACAGATGATGGGTTTGGTCTTCAGTGCGGTTGTGCCTATTCACTACAGAGAAGTATCACACTGGGATGAAGTAGATGACTAGTCTTCCCTGGTCTCCAATGGACGTACAACTGAGGTTGATTTGTAATATCAATCACATACAATAATATCTATAAACCTTTATATAAATGATGTTATAGTCAATGAAATAACAAATTACTTAGGATAGATCTTCGAGATTTTTTTAATGCATGCAAAAATCAAAGTTTGTGACCCCTGCTAACTACGATATAGAAGTCCATTAGAAAACGTAAATAAAAAGCCACCGACAGAAGAAAAAACCGAACAAAACTGTCCTCAAATTGTTATAATATTCTTCGACCAATGAAACTTGAAAGCATATAAGACAGACACAAGTTTTTTAAGCAAAGATGGATAATGATTAGTAGTGGAATCCAGTTTGACGCGCGTTTCGTCCTATTTAGAAGTCGTCAGCTGGATTTACCTGCATCTCAGAGTTGATATTCACTCTGGGACTCGAACCCAGAACCGTTTGATTCCAACACCATCACGTTAACCACTTAGCTACTGAGTGATGATAGCCACTTGCTTGTGCAATGGAGTGAAGTCTAAATTCACTTGGTATTGTTTGAAGCGAACGGTACTGGGTTGGAATCCCAGAGTGAATATCAACTCTGAGATGTAGGTACATCCAACTGACGAGTTCAAATTAGAACTAAATTTGCATACTGGATTCAACTGCTCGCCACAATCGATCTATGCTTTAAAAACCTGTCACTTAAGACTATATAGAGGGGATCCTACCAGTATGCACATATGCCGATAAGAGACTGATCAATTGCAGTCCTAAATAACAATGGGAAGATAC